AAACTGATCAGCGAAGACCAAACAGGATTGAGAAAATTTAGTGACACATTACAAGAGATAGGTAATAAGTGATGGTGTAAGCAAATAGTTTTTCAACATAAAATACTTCATGTTAAAATTGTATGATAGGGGTGCCTGGGCTGCACCAGGGGTTCCTGGGCGGCTCAGTCATTTAAGCATATGACTCTTGATTTTGGTTCAGGTCATGATCTCATGATTCATGGAATCAAGCCCCGCATCAGGCTCTGGTCTGACATGCGGAGCCTGCTTGGGATTCTCTCTCTCCCTCTTTCTCTGCTCCTCCCCAGCTTATGCACTCTCTCTCTCTCTTCCCCCCTTTCCAAATAAATAAATAAGCTTTAAAATAAACTTTAAAAAAAAAGTATGTGAGAGAAGTTAAAATAGGAATTGCATTGCAAGAAAATAGAATTTTAAACATGCAGGTAAATCCTAAGATTAGATAGTGGATTTGATATTCATGTATTTTGGAGGTAAGATTTGTACAACAGCTTGAAACCTTTTAGTTTGATTTCTATATCAGCTACTTATCACCTACATAATACAATTGAAAGATATTTGGGAAATAGTCCATATTACTATCAGCAAAATAAATTTTAAAACTATTTTAGCAATAATTTTTAAAATTTCTAATATTCCCTTCTGAACACTTCACACAACTTAAATTATAATACAAATGTGGCTATTACAATCGAAATTCAAATACATTGATTTACAAATTCCAAGTCATTTCATTCTAACAGTCATTGTAAAAGATACCATTTCTCCTCTTCTCTAATTCAGCAGGGAATAGGAATGGATTTTCTATATGAATCATGAAAAATTCCTAGACCTATAATTTCACATTAATTGCTATGATATTTTGCTGTCCTGGGATAGGAAATACCAGTTAAGATGTCAGTTGCTCTTAAAATTAAAACAGCATTACATTTAAGTTATCACAGTTATTACCAGTAATAACCAGAATGTACCAAGATGATAGTACTGAGCGATTCTTTTAGAAAAAGCTGAGAGGAAAAGTTCAAGTTTGATCAAATAGCATCTATGTAGGGGGGAGCAATAGTGGAAAAATGAGTAAGTCACACATCCTCAAATGCATTTCCTCCAAGCAACGGTTTCAAAAAATAAAGGTAAAATCTTCCTTATGGACTTAAATGTCTCATAAATACACATACAAAATTTTAAATATACATCTAAAGATGTATAATTTCTCCCACAAAGAGTTCACAGACCCATAAAACAATCACACTGCATATATTTTCTCCCTGTGAGTCATTAATGAAGATCTCTAACTTGATCTGAGGTTATTGTCATTCCCCTTAAGGTTTAAAAGGTCAGGATAATTTATTTGACTATTTTGGTTTGTAGTTTATTTCATTTAGTTAAATTTCATTGTCTACCAACTCTGACAGGGACCAAGACAGGAGTATTACCCACTGGTGATTGTCAACTAAGCATCTGTTTCCAGCCCCTCACCTTTAATAACACAATTCTGATGGCTTTTGGGAATTCACTTCTTCCTCATGTAATCATGTGCCTCAAATCTTTCCCTTACCCAACTTCAAGGGTAGTGTTGAATAAGTGTGTCTCTGTTATCCAAATGAGGAGAAAGATATCTGATTTTTGCCTATACATCTTGAAGGGAAGTATGATATAGAAAAGCCTATAGAAAAGCAACATATGAGGGAAAAAAGTCCATTTGACTGAGGAAGGTGGCAGTGTGAATAGAGGAGAGAAAATGTAGGCGCTGTTAAAAAGGTAAACTTAGGTGTGCCTGGGTGGCTCAGTCGGTTAGCTTTAGTGTCCAACTTTGGCTCAGGTCATGATGTCACAGCTTGCAAGTTCGTACCCCACGTCTCTGCAGACAGCTTGGAGCCTAGAGCCTGGTTCGAAGTCTATGTCTCCCTCTCTTTCTCTCCCTCACCATATCACACTATGTCTCTCTCTCGTGCTCAAAAATAAATAAACATTAAAAGTTGTTTTAAATAATAAAAATTTTTAAAAAAGAAGAAAAGGTAAACTTAGCAGAAGGTGGCTAATAATTGGCAGAGCGGCCAAGGGAAATTTCTCAGATTTTTCCTATATGACAGAGAATAAGATCCTGTTAAATAATATCTAAAAGATTACCACACAGAGTTTGAGAATACATAACTAGAGTTTAGGAGATATTCTAACGATGATCAATAATATTAGGAAGTGAGATGTGCTGAGGTGAAAATCAACAATGCAGGGATGTGGATATTGACAAAAGATGTAGTGATTATCTTGGACACAACCATATACACAACTCAGATAATTAGGTTGGAAGAAGATAACAGGTAGGAACAGTTTGAGAGGTTTGTTACCTAAATTACAAAGAGATAAGGGAAGGGAGAAAGAAAAGGAGAGGGGAAAATTAATAGCTAGAAATGAAAATTATTACCTAGAAGCAATATTATACAGAGTTCAAAACGGTTAAACCTGAAGAAGCTCCATTGCATTTCTTAATTAGAAAATGGGAAGCAAATTTCTGTTGTGTATTTAAGTAGAAGCTTTCTGAAGATGATTTTATTTTCCATCTAACAAAACAATTCTCATGGTAAATATGCTAGACATTTGGAGGTAATAATAAGTAATATGGCTGAAAGAGATGAGCACAAGCACAAGGCTTATTCCTCATGTATGTGTCAGACAGACCCTTGATGGCTTTTGGTTTTATAGTCTTGACACAGAAACGTGTTAGTCACAGAAGGGTTATCCCAGCCAGTGTCCACAAGCCTATGAACAAATATAGAATAAACAAAGTATAAACAAATGTAGACTTGCACTGATAGAAACATATTTTGAATGCTCTGCTGAACTAGCAACAGCTGTCTTGAAGTAATGGCTTAAGGAGTTACAGGCCTCAGTTGTCAGCATTTATAGTGTTCTTCCCAGAAGCAATAACATTTTCAAGCATTATATTGGCAGTGACACCCATACAATTAAAAAAAAAAAAAAAAGCCATTGGATTTAAAATACACAGATTGAATGATAATTTCATTTTGTATAGCTCAACTTTTAAAATTCCTAATATACACTGCTTTAAAAGAGAATTGGTTCATTTTGGACATATGTTCACATGTTACTTTAATAAAGATTTGTGTCTTTAAACCATATTAAGTGCAACCAAGAATTGTGAGGAAAATGTATGAGAGTGTTTTATGCTAAGGCTTTTCAGCTTTCTCTTTGATCCGGAAAACTAGGCAAGAGTTATTCATTTACTAATTGGAGAGGATTATAAATTTGTTACCACGGGGACACTTGGAATAAAGAGGGGAAAGACAAAAGGCAAAGGTTTGAATAGATGTGAAAATGTTAAAAGTTCAGTGCTATGTTGTACAAAGTAATAAAAATATTGAAAGTGTACAGAAAAAAGTAGGTGAGTGTTAACATTTCTGGAAAATAATGGTATAATGCTTCATGTTCTCTAAGGACCTAATTATGAGCTATTCTGAATAGCGCACCTCAAGTATTGACAGACAGTCTGTTTATATTGGTTCCTAATTAAAGACTCTCCCCCTCACACCCCTGAAAAGGTTTAGCAAAGACATCTTTCAACACTAACAAGCGTACTGTGAAGCCACATGTTGGGAGGCAAAAATAAATGAATTAAGAAAATAGAGTTTAAATATCTCCATAGACTGGAAGAGAGAAACTTCTCTTTAACTTTCAAAGAAAACAATCTTTTTATTTATTGGTCCAGGTTTCCAGTCATATTTTTTATATTTCCCATACTTCACATAAAAATCAGTCATATATTTTTAAACTCCCAGAACAGCATCAATGGTAGGAATGTTTCTCAAAATTTACAATCTTGGGATAAACCTTTAGGAAAACAATTTCACTCGTCAGTTTCTTTGATGAATGCATTCAATTCAACTTCTATGTTGAAATTCCCTAAATATTTTTATGTGTTGCATGACAGTTAACAGGAAGTGGACAGATTTCTAATTGTATCTGGTTAATTCTGGTAATAATATCATGTCTTGGGAATGTTTAATGAAGGGAACGGAGTAACACTAACAATCAGGTGTACTATTAATAATATAATATCTTGATTTCATGGGGGGGTTAAATGGCAAGGAATAGAAATATCAACAACGGAGATACATTACAGGAATGTATATGAGCCTCAGACAAGGTCTTACTTTATGTCAGTAGTTTTTCTGGTCTTAAAGTATATTGTTTAACTCTCATGAAAGCAACAATTAATATATTTATATTCTCATTTGTATAAGAGCCAGGATTTGAAAAGTCTGTCAGACTGCAGTGCTCTTAAAATTTTCACTACTCTAACATTTAGGTCTAATGCTTAAGGGAGAAAGCTCTCTCACAAAAAGTGTGATTCAACAGAATGGCTGCTCTCCTTGGTTTCTTCTGAATTCACTAGGCATCATTTGGTTGGTTTGGAAGAGTTCTGATTGTTTTCATGGCTGCTCTTAACCACATCAGCTGTATCAGTTTAATAAGGATTTGATTTTCAGCAAATTGTTTTTTAGCTTTATATATCCTTCATATTATGATGTTTTCCTTTGTATTGTTCTTGTTGTCTGGCTTTTAATTGCTTAATTACTCATAACAATGAGCATCACCCACCTATTTTTCCAGGATTTACCTTGTTCGTTTAAACATCACAAAATATTTTAAATATTATAAAAATATAATATTTAAAAGATATAACACATTAATGGTTTCCCATTGGGATGAGCTAAAACTATTTGTAAGGATTCTCAATAGATAGGTCATTCTGAACTAGACAATAAAAGAATATATTTATAAATTTTCTTGGGGGGGGTGGGAAGGCAGATACAGTGTTAAAGCCTATATTCAGGGATGAATAATTTTCACCAAATTGTTATGTGTTCTGAAGAAAAGGCAAAAACCAGAGCTATCCACCTGTGGAATTAAATCATTTAAAATACAGCAAAGCTCTCTTCTCCTCACTGCAAATGTCATTCCAGGGTGATTTAACTGTGGTGACATTTGGCTGAAATGAGACCATTGGGATCCAAACATACTCCCACATGTGAGTAAAATTTTACCTTTTAAAATGTTAACGTGTTTTCCAGCTCTTTCTTATCATTCATACTAAAAATAAAAGCACAATTTGCTTGAATATTCTGCCAACAGGACCTAATTTTAAGTATTTAATTTTCTGAATGTATATTACCCTTCCAATGTAAAAGTAGAATTAGAGTCTTAGAAAAAATGGTTTAAAGACCTTTGAGAGTTCACCAAATTTATCTGACTGTTTCAAATAAGTTGGTCTCTTCATCAATATGGGCATATATTTATTTACATTCTTTTAAGGGAAACATCTCCGGAGAAGAATATTACATAAGCAAACAAAATACCCAAAGAACAACCTGTGATAAATTTTTGTAATTACTCTTTTTAAACACTCTCTCCCCTTTCCTCCGTTCTCCCATCTCCCTCCTTCTCTCTCTCTCTGTCTCTCTCTCTCTCTCTCTCTCACACACACACACACACACACACACACACACTAACCTTTTCTTAGATGTATTCTGATATTTCCTTTCCTTTCTGTTCTCTTCCATGTTTCTTCCTTTTCTCCTTACATTAATGAGGTGTTGTAACAATACAGTTTGAAAATTACATCTTTAACACACTGACTGTGATTTTGTAATTTGTTGAGACGCACAGGCACACACAGGCACACGCACATACACTCCCACATCTCATCTCAAACAGGGAAACTTACAGCTTTATGTCAATCACAGTTTTTATATCTAACATGATTACGCTTGATGCAAAATGCTCGTCTGTAAGCAGCCAGACCTCAAAAAATAAAAACGACTTCCTTTTATTCATTCCTTCTGTTCATGTTAGTACCTTTTTTTTTTTTCTGGTTGATTTTGAAGAGTAGCATTGAACAAAGCTGATACTGAATATACCTTTAACCTGAAAATACATGTACAGTATATTGTTTTCTCTTTCAATAAATCTGTGATCTGTGTTATTACTCTTGGTTAATTCAGAACCTGCTCCTCTGAAATCAAGAAATAAGTGATTAAAAGCTGACATATTATGAAGTATATATTTCTGTGCATTTGTTTTCTGGGCGTTAGTTTTGCTAGAATTGACAGAGTTGAAATAGATATAAATAAGACAAATGCAGGGATGTTTTGACTGAAAATTTATCACTTGATAGCATACAATTAAGATATGTCCTTAAAAGTGTTATGTTCTTTTAGAATTGATACCATACTGGAATGGCAATTCAAACACTTCAATAATATTTTTGCATTAGACAATAATTAATTTTCATACTTCTTTCCTTACCTTGACCCATGTTTATTAAGAATTATTTGTATTTTGCCAACATGATAGTATTACCTTCGTTCTTTTTAAAGATAGAGATTAAATTTATCAATTAGAAATCCCCATCCTGTATTTCTTAGAATAATAATAATCTTATTAGAAGAATATAACGCATTTGAATTGACTTGAACATAATTAAATTTAACTTCAGCCTATGTTTTTTTTTCCCTTAAACAAATGCTTACAAAAGGAAAATTATGTGAAGGGAAAACATTGGTATATGGTTGTTTCTGTACCATGTTTTCTGAAATATGATTTGAAGGTCCATAGTGCAATTTATTCCAGCTAAGCAAAAATAACTATTTATGGTTTAGGAGATGGACTATTTATTTTTGACATTGCTCAAAGATTATGTTTTTAAGTTATAAACTCATCAAAACTATCTTTGAGAGTATTCACCTTCATTTGTAGAAATTCATTCCCTAAAACAGTGCAAATATACAAGCAAAATCATGTCTAATTTCTTATAAAATAAAATTTCATTCAGTACTTACAGAGTTAAGTTTTACCAATAAGTAAGTTTGAGTTTTACCAATAAGATGATTATCTTAATATTACTTTCCTCATGGACAATAACTCCAAAGAGAACATGTCTTAATTCGACTGCTTAAACATTTTTGAAATGTATGAGCTTTTAATGTTGGGATGCATTTTTCTTTGTATGTATATTCTACTTTCTGTGAAACATGAAAAGCAAAGATTATACTTGCCACATATATATCTAAACATCTTTTTCTCAGGTTGAATACATCATGATTCAGATATAGTGAATTAAAATATATTGACAAAACCCCCTAAAAATGGAATTAAACTCTACTTTTTAAAAACCTGCACAGCACAAGCATTGACATAATCTTTCCCAACCCCTAGGCGGGTGCAACAAGGGTTGATGGTACTTTTTAAAATATATATATTTATTTAAATTCAAGTTAGTTAACATACCATATTATATTGGTTTCAGGAGTAAAACCCAGTGATTCATCAATTACGTGTAGTATGCAGTGCTCATCCCAACAAATGCCCTCCCTAATGCATAGCACGCATTCTCATCCCCCACCCACCTCCCTTCCATCAACCCTCAGTCTGTTAGACTCTCTAAGAATCTCTTCCCGTTTGCCCCCCTCTCTATATTTATCTTATTTTTCCTTCCCGTATACTATGTTCGTGTGTTTTGTTTCTTAAATTCCACATTTGAGTGAAATCATAGGATATCTGTCTTTCTCTGACTGACTTATTTCACTTGGCACAATACACTCTAGTTCCATCCATTGTTGCAAATGGCAAGATTTCATTCTCTTTGGTCACCCAGAATTTATTCCATTGTGTGTGTGTGTGTGTGTGTGTGTGTGTGTGTGTGTGTGTGTGTGAGCATTTGTTATTTGGTATGACTCTTTCTGGTTTTCCTTACTTGCATGTTGATGAGCTACAGGAAGGTGGGGGGAGGGGGTCACAAGAAAGACTGAGCAGCGAGTAGCCTGAATCCCCTCACTAAAGAAATGTGCCTGCTTGCCCACCACTCCTGTTCTCACTCACTTTGCCTATTTTCCAATTCCACGTCCAGTTTCCATAGGTGATGGAGATGGCCTCCCCCAGCTAACCCAGCTTGGCTCCATGCTTGTCTTTGTAGTAGTTTTGCTCAGCAGGTCTTGCCCCAGCTTCCCACACACATGCTCGCTGATGGAAAGGTACCTATGTTATTTCTAGATGAAGCTCTTTGAGACACTCTCTCTAGCTTCTCTGCTGATCCAAGATCTTCCAGCACAATGGGGTTGGATGAAAAGAGCCCTGACAATGGCTTTTGAGGTACAAGCTTGGAAGGTGGAATTTTCTTTTCTCCCTTCTGCCTCATCAGGTCCTGAGCAGATGGGCCAGTGTCCTCACAGAACCAAGGGCCACCTACTTTATAGTTTTGTACTGGTTAAACTGTAGGGGTTCCATCTGTGGTCATTTTGTCTGAATCTCTACTTCACTCTTTTATTAAATCAGCTGTTTTCAGCTGTTTTACATAATATTGCTGAGGAACTATTTATGTGGGGAGAGGAAGGGAAAATAAATCTATAAATATATTTTTTGAAGTAACATCTTTAATAAACTGTTGGCTTTCTATCTTTGTGTGTGTGAAGAGAAAAGCTCTGTCATAAAAAAATATATAAAACTTTCTTTATGTAATTAATTTTTACAATTGTTGCTCAGGTTCAGCCTGCTGTTGTTTCCCTTCATTTGTGTTTTCATTCACAAAGGCTTGCTGTGCTTTTGCCTTCCTTTAATCTTTTGATGTCTAGTTTAATCACTATCATTCCCTTGTTACTTCAGCCTACATTGATCTTCCTTTTTCGAGTATTCTTATACCACTGGCTGATTCATTTTGTGTTACTGTCTTTCAATACATGCTGCAATTAGCTAAGCTAAGGTAAGAATCATTAGAAAATAAGTCAATCTGAAATATAATGACATTTTATTTTTCATTTTATTTTGCATAAATTTTCCTCTTCTCTCTCAAATCTTTCACTATTATTATTGTTAAATGTTAAGGCTCACTGTCATGAGCCTTTAATTAGGAAACTTCCCCCAAAGCTAATATTAGTCAATATTAGAATACATGGTGCTTCTTGAACTTTGGCGTCAAAAAAATTAATAATTTACCCTGACTGACATCTCTAGTCATTATTAGGCAGGGAATTTCTAGTTTTATTGCTCTCTGTGTGAATTGTGGCAATGAACTACTAAATCACGGTCACCTCAGGTTATATGTCGTCTTCTTTTTATTTTTTTTCTTTAGAACAACACATTAAGCAACTCAATTCAAATTACGTGTCATTCTAATTGGAACTGGAGAGCAATTAACTTTTGTGTGACAAAATGTCAAGTACTTTTTTTTGACTCATCAAAAGGAATTCGTCAAGAGAAGTCTATAGCTTCGCATAAATTACAATCGCTGCTATCATTGGTCTCTGTTTCAATTAGCTTGTGAACTATTTTAAGTATGGCGAAGGATAACAACTAGGAAATTGAAGAAGTAACAACTGTGTTTTGCCTCTTGGCATGACATCACTTCTTAAGACTCAAAATCAGTGCAAGTTTCAATTCAAGTAAAGAGATTTTCCCCATTTTATTAAAAAAAGAAACGTAGGGGCACCTGGGTGGCTCAGTCGGTTGAGTGTCCAACTTTGGCTCAGGTCATGATCTCATAGTTTGTGGGTTCAAGCCCTGCATTGGGCTCTCTGCTGACTGCCAGCTCAGAGCCCGGAGCCTGTTTCAGATTCTGTATCTCCCTCTCTCTCTGACCTTCCCCGCTCATGCTGTCTCTCTCTCTCTCTCTCAATCTCTCTCTTTTTCTCTCTCTCTTAGGAATAAATAAAACATTAAAAATTTTTGAAAAAATTTTAAAAAATAAAAAATAAACCTATAAAATGCCCCCAAGTTGTATATCTTTTTCACTTTAGTCCCGATATCGCCAAATTTATATTAATGAAATCTATATAAGTTTATAAGTTATAACCAATTGTGTTCCATAAGCCAGTACTGTAAATCTAAAACCAAAGAACTAAACAGATAAGCAATTGCATAAGCAAGATCTGTATTATCTTTCTCCATTTCATAATTGGATATATTCCCTAGCTCCATGTAAATTATAATTCAAAAATCTTTTAGAAAACTATAGAATTTCCTTTCCTTTTCTCTTCT